GATACATACCTGTCGACATTTTCAACCTGATGCACGAGCGGAAGTTGGAGGTCCTCTGGGAGTTGCATCTCCCTCCCGCACGTTAGGAAAAATGGCGTTTGTTGCGTGGAGGCATTTACCGTGGATCGGTAAGCCAACATGCACGCTGGCAAGGCTTCGTCCCATGTGGGTGCTGAGTTCCGGTCGACAAAAGTCCGCAACAGGTTGATCAGCGTCCGGTTCGTCCTTTCCACCTGGCCGTTGCCTTGTGGGTGGTACGCGGTAGTGCGGGTTTTCTTAATTTTCGGAGCCTTGCACAACTCGTGTACGACGCTGCTCTCGAACGACGAGCCTCGGTCCGAGTGGATTTGGCCCGGGCTCCCCAGCGGCAGATCCACTCGTTAAAAATGACCTGAACTACTGTGGGGGTAGACGCATCTGGTAGGGGTACTGTCTCAGCCATCTTGGTGGAACAGTCCACCATGACGAGACTGAACCTATTTCCCCTTGCGGATGGCGCGATTGGACCAACTAGGTCTACAACTACCCTCTCGTTGGGGTAGCCTGTCTTGATTGGCTGTAGCGGGGCTCTGTAGGAGTGCGCGGGGGACTTAAAGCCTAAACAGTGCTCTCAAGACCGGACAACGTTCTGTATGTCGGTCATCTGAGTCGGCCAGTAGTACTGCCGACGAAGGGCCCACTCGGTCTTATGGATGCCGGAATGCACTATTTCCGCATGCATCCTTTCAACCACTTCATCCACCATCGAAAGCGGTAGGACGACTCGCTTTGGGTATTGTTCATTGTCACGATAGAAGAGAACGCCATTCTCAGTGAACAATTTGTCACAGAGGCTATGCAGACATCGCGTCTCATAACTATAACCCGCTATTTTAGCCTTACTGAGAGGCCTGGCGTTAATAACTTTCCTATCGCATATGGGGCAAATATGCGGGCCATCTCGTTGGGCTGCGGCCCAGAGTAGACATTGATCGCTTTGCAAAGCGATAGCGGAGATGGTGATGTCCGTGCATGACGGGTACTCCCCGTGTGGCCGATAAGGTTTCCTTGAAAGGGCATCTGCATTTCCATGCTGACGATCCGGTCGGAAGATGCATTTAAAATCGAACTCCGTCAACTTCTCTTGCCAGCGAGCTACTTGCCCTTCAGGATTCTTAAAGTTTCTTAGCCAAGTCAAAGAGCTGTGGCCGGTACGTACTATGAATGGTCGTTACTGGAGATAGGGTCGACACTCCTCAACAAAATGCGTAGGTGCGAGCATCTCTTTGCGGGCGACACAATAACGCCGCTCGGCCTTGGTAAGTGTGCGACTAAGGTATTGAATGACGCGTTCGGTGCCATCAAGTTGTTGCTGAGACAGAACGGCCTCCATAGCCGTGTTGCTGGCGTTAGTATCTAAGATAAATTTGCCTGCGCCTTCGCTTATGTCGGGGAAAGTCAGGACAGGACTAGTGCACAAACTATCCTTCAGCATCTGGAAACTACCATCACATTCAGCCGTCCACTTGAATTTTTTCTCCTTCTAAGTCAGACGGTGAGGAGGAGCGGCAATGTTAGCATAATCTTTTATAAAACGTCGATAGTAAGATGCCAGGCCTAAGAAACTGCGAACCTCTGTCACATCCGAAGGGGTCTGCCATTCGCGGATCTGTCTGACTTTGTCGACATCGGTTTCTACTCTAGTGGCTGAAACTACATGTCCTAAGAATTTAACGCGCGGTCTAATGAAGACGCATTCTGAAGGTTTTAGAGTTAGACCGGCCTGTTTGAGACTGAGGAATACAGATCGAAGGTTGGCCAGATGGTTCTCTAAGTCCTTCCCAAGGACAGCGATATCGTCCATGTAAACCAGACACGACTTGGGAATCAGCTGAGAGAGTACCTGATTCATAAGCCTCTGAAAGTTACTAGGGGCATTGGCTAGTCCAAACGGCATTGCCTCAAACTTGTAGCGACCAGACGGTACAGTAAACGCAGTCTTCTCTCTATCAGTGGGTCCAATCTCCACCTCTTAGTAGCACGAGGCTAGGTCGAGGGTTGAAAAGACAGTATTGCCTGCAATTGTGTCAAAGGTAGCGTCGATCCGGAGCAAGGGAAACGAGTCCTTTTTCGTCACAGCATTCAGTTTTCTGTAACCAACACATAGGCGCATCGTGCCGTACTTCTTCCGCACGAGTACTATCGGTGACGACCTCGGCGAATGAGACCGTCGAATAATTTTTCGACTGAGCATATCGCTAATGAGGGCATCCAATTCCTTCTGACAGAAAATGGGGAGACGTCTAGGGGGGATCCTAATGGGTTTGACGTCCCCAGTGCCAATGCAGTGTTGAGTAACATCGGTCCGGCCGGTTGACTTGCCGTCCCAATCAAAAATGTCTTTAAATTCGGTAAGCAAATGTTCTAGCTGCGTAAGACTGTTAGCGTCTAAACTGGTAGGCAAAAGGTCCTTAATGTTGGCGACCACAACAGACGCAAAGCAAAGATCTGATGCCGGCGGCACGTGGGTGAGAAATGGTACATTTACGAGAGTAGTAGTCAATAGCTGTTTGCCAAAATCAAGTGTGCAATGGAACTTATTCAGGAAATCGACACCCAAGATACAGTCCCAAGAGAGGTCCGAAGACACCAGGAAAGAATGCGAAAACATGTGACCACTAAGTTACAATGAAAATTCAACCAATCCGTCGTGCTCAAGCCCGGCGCCAGTGGCCGTGCAGAGGCGCTATCCGGGTTTCCCTCGATACTTAACTTTAGTTTGAAAGGCAGTAAAGAGCTGTTGCTTAACTAGTGAGCAGCCCGCGCCGGAATCAACCAGACAAGAAAAGGAAACATTCCCGACTGTCGCCTTAACCAAGGGACAAATTGAATGGCTAACACATGAGACAACTGCATCCGAAAAATAAAGCACTAACTATTGTCTTCCTGCTCAACATCAACCATTTGAATGGGTCGACGTCCTTGGTGACCGGTAGAGGGGCGGATCGGAGGTCGGCGCCAATTAGTCTGCTGAGGGGAGCAAGACCCACACGCGCACTGACTCCAGGGCGTCTGAGTGCTGACGTCCACACCCGATTGAGACCGCAAAGAGGCTACTCCAACACAACCCCGCAGGTGAGTGGCACAGGCAGCCTGGAGCGCCTCTTCTTGCTGGGCAAGGCGAAGTGCGTCGTCCAACTTGGACGGCTGCTGACGGAGGGGTGCTTTGCGAACCTCCGGGCCCGAAACACCATCTGTAAACTGCTCGAGGAGTGTTTCCTCGAGATCGGCGGCTGCCAAAGTAGGGTCGGCCTGCCGTCCTAGAAGGCAAGGCGCCTGTTGAAATTCCACGACGCTCTCAAACGGCCTTTGAAGCCGCCGTCAGAACTCAGACCGCACCAGCCAAGCGGGTGTTGAACCGCATAGAATCCGACGAAGGTCCCGAAAAATCTCAGCAACAGGCATCGTAGAATTGATGCCTGAAGCCCGAGCCAGGTCATAGACATCGGCATCCAGTTGTGATTGGATTGCCACGCCCTTAGACTTGGCGTCCACGCCGCCAAGGTAAGCTGTCATCCGGGCTTCCCAACGGTCAAAATCGCCTGATCGAGAAAGTTTGGCAGGAAGGGGGCAGGATGACGAAGGCAGTGCCAGTTTCTGCAGCTCCTTAACAAGTTTACTTACGAAATTGTCTGCCATTTTGCATGCGGCACCGCTGCCACCAAATTGTAACGTCTCCGATCCGATTGAGGGCGAACCCCAAGGGGAATTAAGGCGGTTAATAAAAAAATAATGAGACGTGTATTAAACTGAACCTACTACAATCCTCGCTACTGGCCTAATGTACACAGATAGGGCCGCAGGAGTCCTTGCTTAGCAGCAAAGCTGACAGACAACAGAAATCCGGAACTCGAGCGTCCTACTGTAGCGCCCGAGCACACACGGCTCTGCGGAAAGGTAGATTCCTCGGGTTTGGAACCAGAACTCAAAGGTTCGTTCCCGTGCACGATGATCTCACTAGGATTGTCGTTATTCATCGCAAGCATGCAACACGCAGATAATCCA